CCACCCTCATTGTGGCACTAAGCAGCCCCCCCAAATCACTGCTGAGGTCCCCAAAACCCACCCCCGACCCTGCTTCTGTCCCCACCGTGGTCCCAAAGGGGCTGGGGTGAGTGTCCCCACGGAGCAGCCCTCTTTTCACCACCAGAAAAGTGATTTTAATGCCTCAGAGGTTCAATTTTATATCAAATGGGGAATAAACACCCCCCTTCCCCCCACCCCCAGGGCTGAGGGGGGGGCTCCAGCCCCCCACGTCCCATCGCTCCCGGGAAATCCCAGCACCCAGGAGGTGCCAGGCTGTGCTTTGGGGTGGGGAGGTGGCACCAAAATGTGACTTATCCCCCCCTTTACAAGCCAAGCCTCACCTTGGGGGGGACATGGGGGTCACTTGGCCCCATATTCCCCTCTCGGGGGGGTTAGGGGGTGTCCGTGTGACCGTTCAGCCCCCATCTCCCAGAGGTGGGGGACACCCAACAGTGGGGACCGCGACCATGAGGTGGGTGCTGAGACCTGACCCCACCGCGCAGCTCATCACACCCCCGGCAGCCGGATCCCGCAGCACCGGGATGGATCCGCCCCTGAATCCCGCCAAAATACGACTGAAAAATGGAGGGATGAGGCATTTTGGGGGATAAAAACCCCAGCGGGGTCGAAGGGGGACACGGAGCAGGGATTTTGGGGGACGAAAGGCTGGGGGTGCGGTGGGGCCACCGGGTCGGGGCAAAGCACGGGGGTCCCTGTGTCTCCCGGGCAGTGTCCCGGCCAGTCGGGGAACCCCCCCACACCTCCCCCCGGCTCTGGAACCAGACGCCGGATTTAATGAATCTACCCCTAAAAAATTAGCACTAAATGGGTTTTGAACCACGGTTTGGAAATATGAGCCCCCCCGCGGGTGCGGGCAGGGAGCGGGCAGCAGAGGGGGGTGCAGGCAAAGGCACGGGGCCGCCGCGCTGCCGGAGAGGTGTCCCTCTGTCCATCCCTCCATCCATCCACCCATCCGTCTGTCTGTCCCTCCTTCCCTCCATCCATCCCTGCATCCCTCCATCCATCCATCCATCTGTCCGTCCCTCCATCCATCCATCTCTCCATCCGTCTGTCCCTTCATCTATCCATCTGTCCATCCCTCCATTCGTCCCCCTCCCTCCCTCCATCCATCCATCCATCTATCCATCCGTCTTTCCGTCCCTCCATCCATCCTTCCATCCATCCCTCCATCCGTCCGTCCCTCCATCCATCTGTCTATCCCTCCTTTCGTCCATCCATCCATCCATCCATCCCTCCATCCGTCTGTCCCTTCATCCATCCGTCCATCCATCTGTCCAACCCTCCCTCCCTCCCTCCCTCCATCCATCCATCCCTCCATCCGTCTGTCCCTTCATCCATCCGTCCATCCATCTGTCCAACCCTCCCTCCCTCCCTCCCTCCATCCATCCATCCCTCCATCCGTCTGTCCCTTCATCCATCCGTCCATCCATCTGTCCAACCCTCCCTCCCTCCCTCCCTCCATCCATCCATCCCTCCATCCGTCTGTCCCTTCATCCATCCGTCCATCCATCTGTCCAACCCTCCCTCCCTCCCTCCCTCCATCCATCCATCCCTCCATCCGTCTGTCCCTTCATCCATCCGTCCATCCATCTGTCCAACCCTCCCTCCCTCCCTCCCTCCATCCATC